TGAGTTTTTCAGAAGATCTTAAAGCTTTCTGAGTGCTTGAAGGATCTGAATCATTGCAAGAAGCCTCCTGATGCCAGAGAGATCAAGTTAGGAAGAAATTCAAGGCCAAAAAAGGCCAAGGCAGGAGTGACTAAACGAAACAGCCATTTCTCAGTTCCAAGCCCTTCAGCTCCCCTTATGCTCGAGGTTGGTTGACTGTAGGTCAAAGTCACTGTGAAGCAGGCTGGAATGCAAACACAGTGCAGCAGTTTGGTGGCCTCCATACAGAGGTAAGGGGCTTACTCTCAACTACAGCCATCTGAAAGTTAGGAGTCTGATCCTAGCTGGTTCAGATTCCTTACACAACCTGAAAAATTCACAAATCCAGATGAGTGATGTGGTATGAATACACTTTGAAAGGGACTAGGGTTATCTGCAAGTTCAGGATGTCTGTATAGGGAACCAGCACTTTTCATATTCACAAGCTGACTTAATTCCCTTGGTAGGCAAGCCCGAACAGCAAAGAATATATGGCCTTCTTCATTTTGAAATTGGAGGAGATGTTTGTATTTCATTGTTTATGGCTGGTAACTTTATATATTCTGTGACTCCAATTTTTCAGTTCCTCCATTGCGACCTTCAAATCCTCTAATCCAAATCAAGTTCTGTTTTGATTGGACAAGCTCCACTTTTCCTTCTCTAGATACATAGTTTGACAAGTGAGGTTTTCCTTTTGGTATATTAGCGCCTCATATCTGCCTCAGATATACAAAATGAGCCAAGGTCTCAATCAAAAAAATCAGGCAAAACCATGTACAAGATAAAACAAGCCACACAGTTAAAACAAAGATAACCACTTAGGTATAAGTTTTCTTTTGACAACATTATTAGCTAAATACCTTTTCTCTTCCTTCAGTGTATGTTGGCATGAAATCTCTTCCCCAGGGTTTTGGAGTTATATGAGGGAAAAGGGATGGGGAAATATCGCAGGGGGTTTTCAGTTACTTCAGCAAAATCTGAAACATACCTTCCTGCTACCTGCACCACTACACTGGCCACAGATTACCAGGTTTCCTTAAGCCTCCATTTTCAAAGTTTTCCCAGGATAGTTCAGATCATCAGCTCTTACAATTTAAACAGAGATTAATTTCTAAGGGACTGCTGTAACAGCATGGTAGAATGCCAGATTGTTTCATTCTTGCAGGTACTAACATGTTTGCTTTCAGAGGCAATCGATCTTTTTGAGATCCCTCTTCCCCCTAGTTTGACAGAAATCTGTTAATGACGAAGCTCTGAGTGTTCTCTAAATGCAATGTGTGGTAAGCTTTGAGTCCCAAGCCTGAAGCCACAGTCTTCCCACTGTTTGTTGCTTGGGCTCAATAAACATCACACTGATATATTGAGATGACTCAGCTACGCAGCGTTCACCTGCCAGCACCAACTCACTGGTCTGGACTTGTGAGTTTTTCCAGATAGCAGACAGGCTTAAAGAGCAAGGCCATTTATAGACCTGGTGATTATAATGATGCATGGGAACAAAAATAGATTTATAACAATCATAACATCCAGGACAGCAATACAAATAGTGAGGATGAAAACCAGGGAAAGATAAATACCTGTCTGGAAATATGACTACTACTGAATCAATAAGCTGATGTCCTACCAAAAGCACGTCATTACTGATTGAAAGCAATGTGGTATCAGGAACTTTCAGTCTGCCCAATGAAGGTGATCCTTTTTCTCCAGTTGTATTTACTGTTACAAGTTGCAATGAATAATTTCTGTTAACTAGAGGGCTGTTTCTGCATCACCTTCAACTAATGATTTTTAAAACAAGCTAGTCATATTCCTGTAACATGGAACAGGCTACTTAATGCCTATATCCCCCACTTTAGGTTTGTTAGCAAAAGAAGAAAACCTGATTTTTTTTAAGTTTCTTTTCCTACATCGTGTAAACTATGTTATGGATGATGAATAATTAAAGGGACTTAACTTTTAAAAAACAGTTTCAAGCTGTGTCTCTTCCCTGCTATGGCATGTAATCACAAACGTGGTTCTTCTAAACACTGCTGAGAACAACTTGGTTGTAGCATGGACAAGTGTTTATTACAGGGTTTACTGCCTTGTCCTATGATTCCATGCTCTGCAAAGCACATCTTAACTAATTCCCAAAGGCAAAGTGGCAACACTGTAAAGCACTTGTGAAAACATTCAAACTGCAGTTTAAACCTTGTTAAGGTGCAATTCTTCTCTGAAAAGTGACACTAAAAATGGCAGTGTGGGATCCCGTATTTATTGCTTATTTGTGATTTCCAGATCAAACATGCTAAGTACAACTGTATTGTTCCCTGCTAACATCCACAGCCAGCTCCACAGACTCCAGTGAGATTAAATAGTTGAAACTTTCATGTTCATGTATCATTAAGACGATGGTTCCCTTAGCATCTGTCCAAACCTGCTGTCCTCACTGAAACAGATACACCTTGGCCCCCTTCCATTTAGCTAAATGAGCTCAAGGAGGATCTGTTTTCTTCTCATTAACCTGTGTCAGTTTTTTCAATGCTTATGGGAGTAAAATGTCTTTTCAGGCAAATCTAACTCTGAACAAAAATATACACAAAGCAGATGTGTTGAAGAAGATGCCACTTCTTAAACATAGCCACATTTTTGGCTAAAGAATTTTAATGGCTTTTTAATTTCTTTTCTGGTCCATTTCACGGCATAAAATATTTCGATCTCTAGAAAATTCTGGTATGAACAATATTCTCTCTACACATTAACCTGTTTAAACACAGGCTTATGAGCTACATGTTATTTCTCTAGAGAGCCAGCTGTTGTGTATTTATGGCTGGCACCAGCAATGAGAAGACACAGCCCAATCCAAAGCCCATTGAAATTCAGTTAAACTGTCCAATTAATCACAGGGAGGTTGCTATAGGTTTGATGCTTTTCTTTTTGCTGTATCTGAGCAAGAAGCAATCAACCTCAGCCACCTTCCAGGGACCTCTGAGTTGACACTGCAGTTTGCTGTTCCCAGCTGGGAGAAGAGACACATTGCCATGTCCAGCTCTCAATGGAGAGGAGGACATTCCTTTGAGGAAATGAAGCTAGTTTGCCTTAAATAACTTGTGCTGATGGAGTTGCATTCTGATTGACATTTAAAGTTGGTCCATATATGAAGACTACCATACTCACACATAGCTACCCTGACATGGTCAAAGTTGGCCATTTCAAAAACAATACTTCCCCCTACCCCACAACGAAAATGTAGAAATGTAGAGGCAGATCATGTTTATTGGTACTACTGTTCCTTTACTTGGGCAGTATGTTCATAAATATATCTAAGAATAGATGCTAAAGTACTAAAAGGCTCTGAAAATATTACAGGAACAGTTACAGCATCCATTCAAGGTGCAATAGTAATCAAGTGGTGATGACTACCAAACAGATGCCAACAATAGTCCCTTGGGTGTAGGTAGGGTTTCCATGCTAGTTGTCATATCACCTCTTACAAAGAACTCATCACTAATTCAAATGTCTCAGATTTTTATCAGCCGCACGAGTGTAATCAGCATCTGTTTCAATCTTAGGTTATGCTTTGTGGGTGTTCAAACGGTTACAGATGTGTAAGGAGGAATGTGCCTAGGCTGTCCTTCTTTAAGACGATGGTTTCCTGACTTAGCATAGCTGAAATTTTGTGAAACAATATGCAGGCTTTTTCCACCTCACTCTTTTGCCAATCCCCCACAGCCTTGTGACTCAAAGGGGCAAAACTGCGCAACCCAGAGCCAACGTGGGCCCCACATTTCAAATGCTTGAGAGCTGGAATATCCAGAGCTGAGGTTTTGGTCTGGCCTGTGAAAAGGGAGAGAAAACCATCTGTGAAAACTGGAGGCACATCTGGGTTTGGCTTCTACTCCAGGATCCCATAGCCTCCCATAATCACTTTCTGAACATCTGCAGGTTGGGAGAAGAAATCCTTTCTATGCCCTTTTGCTTGGGAAGCCGTGCTCAGCCCTGTGCCTGGTACCAGCCCTGTGCCACTGCGTGGCTAGTGGGGGCAGGAAGAACAGGCCCCTGAGTGCGGCCTCTCCTCTGGACAAGGGCTTACTGAAAACGCTAAGCCTTGCTTTTTTTCTGGACACTGGATGTCACTGGGAAATCACAACTGCACATGCAAAAGCCCCGTATCATTCCCATGGGTCCCTCCTCCTCACTGAGCCCCTCGGGGCTGGTACTGGCCGGTGGTGGCCCAGGCAGGCAGACACCCATGATGTCGCGCAGGCCTGCCTTGGCAGAAGGCAGGGGCAATGGGGCCATTCCTCTCATTCCTGCCTCAGTAGGAAAGGGAAACTGGCAGGGATCCTCCTTCCCCTCAGCCTCCCCCTCCCTGCTTCCCATCCAGCCCTGTTCCTGGAAACCCCTGGGGAGCTGAGCCGAAAGGAGCCCTCTTCATCCCCGGGAAATGGCGGCCCCGGCTGTGCTGTAGGGTCCTGCAAGCAGGCGGCCGCACTGCTGTGGGCGCTGGGACTCAGCCTCCAGCTGGGATTTCTAACCGTGCCTCCCGTGAGCCACGGGGCACCAGGGGAGCTGCTGTCATCCCCGGGGCACTCGTCTCCCCTCCAAGCCTTGGGAGAGGTGACATTTAAAGGTCCCTTCCAACCCAAACTATTCTATGATTCTATAAGCCAGCTGCCCAGGGAAGAGGAGGGGGGGGACAGACATCCAGACAGACAGAGCCCAATTAAACCCTCCCCTGGCCAGCCCCTGACACTCCCTCCTGCATTTTCCAGTCTGTGGTTACAGCACTCAAAGGGTTCCATTAAGTCATCAAGTTTTACAGGTTCCTTAAAAAAAAAAAAAAGAGGGGGAGAGAGAGCGCGCGAGAGAGAAAAGTTTGGTCATGGTAGGGAATGAGTGATCAAAGCTGAGCCAAAGCTTCCTGTTACACCGGGACTATATATATATCGTGTCTTTAATGTTGGGGGATGTAAGCAGGCTGCTAGGAGACTGGAGAGGGAGCTGACTCTCTGCCTGATTTCCCAGCTCGCTGAGGTTTCTTCCACCGACCACAATGAACAAGTTCCTGTGCTGCACGCTTGTGGTAAGTCCCTTCAGAGAGGTAGATAGGCTTTAAGATGCATTACAGCTTCAGAGATCAGGCTGTAAAGACATACAGCTTTTCTTCTGGGTTGTTTTGTTTTGTTTTGTTTTGCTTGGGTTTTTTTTTTTTGTTTTGTTTTTGGTTGGGGTTTTTTTTGCCTTCTCTCCGTTTTCTTGGTAAAGCTTTTTTGTTTCATCATGCCGAGCTTTCCTGGTGAGGTTTGGAGTGCGATGGACATGTCCAGCTCCAGGGAGGCAGCAGGGATTTTCATCCCATTCTTAAGGTAGTGGCATGATTTGCCTTTCTTTTGCTGTTTTTCCTATCTTCCTCTCTCGCTCTGTAAGGCTTCATTATACCGGGCTGACACAAAACACTGTATCTAGGAATGAATTTAGAAACTGTAGGCTGGGATGTTTGTTTTTGATTTACAAAAGCTCCATCTCTGCCTGTCTCTGTAATCTCTGCTGCACTGGCACTAGTTGGTATCTCAGATACTGGGCTGGCTTTCTTACCCGGGAAAACCACTGTGAACTACAGAAAAAAGCAGAAGCGTGTGGTGCTCGTTTTGGCTTAGAAAATTCAGCTTCATGTGCGAGAAAGTGATGAATTAGTAGCTGTGTCAGTAGCTATTACAGAAAAAGTTGTGTTATTAAATCTGGTGTAAGCCCTCACTTTAATAAGTTTTTGTTTACTCAGTGATTTAGCAAGATACTTCCAGATGCAAATTTAGAGATGTTAGCAGTGCAGTAAATCTTTCAAAATGTCATTTAATCCATTTAGCCATATGGAATTGTATATGGTGTCAGAATAATTAAAACCTGTGTACAGACAAATACTGTGTAACATCTATTTGGAGGCTATTAATCTTTTGGATAAGAAAACATTCAAACAAAAACCTTAAAAAATAATATCCAGAAAAGGCTGTCATGCGTGCCTGCGCGGCAACTTGTTCCTGGGTTGTTTTGGTGAGTACAGTTGCATTAATGTTGTGGCAAAATGTTAGAACTGAGAACCATTTATTTTGAAAGCTCTTTAAAAATGCAAAAAGATTTCCAGGACCTGATGAGTAATGCATGTTTATTACTCTCTGTACAACTTTCTGAAAGAGCTTTTTGAGAAACAAACCCAAAGTAATTAATGGTGCAAGGGAAGCAAAAATTGTCATGCTCATGGTCAGCAAGTTGAAACACAGGACAACTTTTTCATCTCATAGATGATGTTGTGCCTTCTTTGTCTATATGAAAGCACAGGAAGTTAATCTGGGAATTTCAGCAATAGGCTATTATCAGCTTGGCTTCTTATCTGTGGCTGTCATAAAATAATCACATCAGTATTTTGATTTTGATTAAATGTAATGTGCCTGTTCATGTCCTCCCACAAAGTAATAGTGTTTGGTGAAGTTCAGCATAATCCTCTGGCAGATGAATCTCAGAGCTGAAATATGTTAGTGGCAGGAGTACATACCACAGAGCTTCATTATTCAACTTTCTTTAAATTATTATTTAAAAGCAATTTATTTAAAGTTATTGTGAAGTTTAAGTACTGTCAGTGAAATTTAAGTACTGTCAGATGTGCTAGAGGTCAGAAAAGTAGTTTTAGTACCTGTTTTATAAGAACATTTGTAAGAGGCACAACAGCCGTTCAAGGTTGTGTGCATTTGGCTCACATACCTTAAGCCTAGTTTGGAGAAACCATAGTTGTAAAAGGCTCTTTGGACATGATGTACTTTCAGCCTTGGCCTCTTTGCTAAGGTTTCAGAAAGGGGACCTGCTGTGGTGGTGCACGCATGTACGTGTTGTTTGCTGGAACACTAAAACTGCTTACAAACAGACAAGCATTATGAAATCAGACTGAATTGAAAGAAATTCCCCAGAGCTGGATCTCGTTACTTGTCACGTAACTATCTTGACCCTTAAACTTGACCTTTCTCTATTTTGGATCTCTGGGCGCATGTGACATGCTTTTTCTGGCCTGCCTGTTGCGTTTGCTGTGTGTAGGCAGCAGTGGCTTTGCAGCCTGTGAGGGTAGGAGTTATCTTTCTGTCTGACTTTCTTTCTGTCTGTCTGCATGTGTTGGTTAAAAATAAAACACCAAGGTTACCAGAAAGATTTTAAAAAGATATTGTCACAAGTAACATGTACTGTTCAAATCTCACAGAAACTTTAATTTTGTTCCTTCTGTATTTACTACTCTGGTAGTCTTCCTGGAGAAAAACACCTGTTTGGACATAATATTGGACATACTGTTTCAATAGCTAGATGGTCAGTTGTTAGTAATTCTGTTCAGTGCAAAGGCAGACTGTAGTCATGGTGGGAACATCCCAGGTTTGGGTTATCTCTAAATCTTGCTGTCACTGTAGTGAATAATGTTCCAAAATATGAGTTATGGATAAGACGCACCTTTTGGTGAGTAGCTGGTTAGTCTTTTCTGCTTTCTTCTTCCACAAGGTTCCAGGGAAATGTAGCTCATATAAACGAAGACTTTCCATTTAGCACTTCTTTGATAAGATGCAAAACCTTTTTTTTTTTCCTGCTACTGAAAATGAAACAATATTTTAGACCCCTAAATTGCTTTGTGAGTCCTAAATTGCTGTGTGAGTGACAACTACCTGCGTCACAAAGTCTATGAAAGATTTGTATTGTTGACATATTGCTTTCCTGACAGAGAAATAGAGACAGCGGTTGATATCCTTAGTTACGAATACAGGTTGCTCAGAAATAGTCACTAGTTATATTCGTTATATAAAAGAGCAGCCTCCACTTTACAAAGCATCTTCTGTACACAAGTAGGTCTTGTTATGTTCAGAGCGAGCGGACTGCATTGAAGCAGTTGTCAGAATGGCGTAACAGCTTTATGAGCTAAACTCAAAACAGTGAAAAAGACTCTGATTTAGCTTTCGTTGTCTACCTGACGCTCAGCTGTGGTCTGCCAGAAGGTATTTCGTCTGGGCTGTGCCCTCAGCGAGCCTGCAGCAACTAATGGGGTAAGCTGTTCTGCATGGCGGTTAGCCCAAAGACTTTACATTTGGTGATTGCATGGGGCCTCCCAGAACAGCAAGGTGAGGAAGATGAGATTTGAGTATCTCCCAGATGGATGGAAGTCATTTCTCTCTAGATGAATGACAAATATTTTACAATGGTTATTTGCAATAGATGGCTATGGATCTGATCCAGCATGGCACTGTCATGTACTGGATCTAGACATACCGTTTTGATTTGACAAGCTATGGATTAGAAGGATCTCTTCAATATCATTCAGTGCTATATTTTGCCACACCGAGATTTCTCTGGGGTCTGTGCATGATTTCAGTGAGGCATTCTGCCTAAGGGCTGAGGGTAAGTGAAGGCCTCCTGCCTTAGCTTTGTCCAAATACTTTGGGTAGAAAGCAAAGTAGGAGAGTTGTGAGGTTTTACTTTGAACCCAATGCAAACACTAGGAGCAATCTGACAGATGCCTTGAACGATTATTTATCACGCAGGAAAATATGCTTCAGAATAGTTGTGGAATGCAAAACAGAAACAGATTTATCTTTCTCTGCAAATTAAACATTCTCCTTTGGTCTACAACCCAAAACCTCAAACCCAAGCTATATAATAATATTTTCATATGCTGAAAAGCCACTTTCTTTTCTCTTACAAAGCAGTGATTTAAAGGGATGATGCTTGAAGGATTTTTGCTTTATGTGCTTTGTCTTCCAGTTCATTTTAATTCAACAAGAAAAAGCAAGTGGCTCTTTGCCTTACATTTAAAGATGAAAGAAAAGGGCGTGTACTTTTTTCATGCCCCAGATCTGAAATGAAATTTTACAATCACATTATTTCTCTTTCAAAAGCATCTTCTAAGGGCTCAAATAAGTGGACTACACAGGCCTTTCATGCTAGCATTGACTGTTTTGTGTATGCTGACATAAAAATGGTATAGAAAAATACAGCTTTAGGCCTAATGTGTTGAATGACATGATCAAAGATTTACTTTTTAACCCTGGGTAACTCATTTTGAATAAGTTCTCAGTATTTACTTACATGACACTGACTTACATTAGACTTACATTTCAGTATTTACAGTTCATCCCAACTCCTTGCATGGAGATGGCTGTCCTCAGAGGTACCCAGGCTTTGGCCCGGGGAGATGAGTTTTTCAGCCTTTTCAGAACTGAGCCCATGACGCTAGAGGTAAATTTCACCCAATAGGTTGATAGATGCAGTTAACGATACTAGGTTTTGTTTTGCTTTAGTAATTATTTTGTTACTGATAGCACTTAATATTCATAGGGGGGAAAAAAAACCCAAACCAAACACCCTAAAACACTTGGGATTTTTTTAAATTAAGCCTTGTATTTCAGTACCCCTAAGAAAACCTTTTGTGATTGAGTGCACTCTGGATCAGAGTAACAGTTAGTTTGTTGAGACAAACAAGATCTTGAATATCATTGGCTTCCATCAGTATTGGGATATAAAGCATGTGCTTAGGGTTCAAAAACTGAAAGAAACTACCTAGATCTTTTCAGTCTATTCCCCAGCTCTTCCAGGAAACCAAATGGTGTATTTGCTTTCAGAAATGCATTGGGAGCTATATTTAAACTACTTGGGTTTCTTGCACCTGCTTCTCCGTTAAAGGCTGTTCCCAAACTTCCTCTGATGAGAGAATCCCCTTTTCATTGGTCAGCATTATTCTTTACCAGAGAAAGTTCTTCTCCATGTGTTCCCTGTCTGTCTGTACTGAATCTATAGGTACTGTTTTGAATTGCCAATATATTCAACAAGTCAAAATTCTCTTCAATATAAGGATCTCCATATCCTTCTAATTCTCTTGGTATCTCTTCCAGGCTGAAATAAACTTTCTTAAACAAGGATGAACATAATTTTAGGCAATCATCTCAATGACAAATCCATAACTTGGCCAAGTGTAGTACTGATAGACTCCAGCTCTGGTTTCTTCAGGCTTAAAGGGTGAATATGCTCATTGCCTCTACTTTTGATTCCAGTAAACTGAAGCCAGACTTGTACTTTCTTCCTCCTTTCAAATTGGAACTTGCCACCTTCTCTAGCAAGTGCAAAACAAGCCAGTGCCAGCAGGATTAGAGAGAAATCCTGCTTTCTGTGAAGCTTTGAGGAAGACCAACGTTCAGAACTAGTAAGTTCTGATCACGCCATTTTTATGTGCTCAAATAGTGTTATTCCTTACAGCAGAGATTAAGGTGTTTAGTATGCTGTGCACCTTTAAGGATGGGCATTCAGGTCAATCAGAGGTTTTATGTGACTGAGAATTTGCTAACAAGTTGGTCATACCATGGCTTAGGAGGAAAAATGTCAGGAATGACACAAAATGCATTGAATTAGCGTTTTAATTTGATTCAGGAACTTGCTTTTAAAGGGCATCTCCTGATCATCCTTATTTACTGTATTTTAGTTTGTGCATCAGAGCAGACTTAGAGTGCACAAAGTGGATTTACAAAAGTAAACTGGACTGATGAAAATAAATCCCAGAGATAGACTCCAGAGATGCACCAGATGCACTGTAACCACTAATGTATGCTCAGTCCATGAGAGCGGACTGCAAGGTAGGCCAAAATAACCCCCCTGAATCATGCATAATATGGATGTCAGGTGCTCGGCACCATCTGTTTTGCCATACAAATCTGGTGTTACAGGTGGTCCAACTTGCTAATGTAAGCACAAATTCAGTGTGTCTTAGGCCAGTAGAAAGGACAATTTAGTGATGTTCCCCTCTAGTTTATTCTGTGAGATCAGGGACAAGAAAAGTCTTTTCATTCTGTTTGTGTCAAGTTGCTGCAGTAAAATTAGAAAAAATCATACTTAATTACCTTCTACCATTCTTCCTGCCTTTTTGCAAAACTTTTGAAACATAGATTGCTTCTACTTTGGCACTTGATGTAGGTCCAAGGATAACTCCTGATTTTCAGGTTGCATATTAATATTCAGAACACTCATGTCTGCTAGGTGTTTTCAGTCTGCACAGAAGACACTCTTGTTCATCTGTTCTGTAAGTATTACTAAGTGACCTCCAGTAGTCTTATGAAGAAGTGTGGTATTGGGGATTGGAGTCCAGAAATGTGGTTAAGAACATACTAATGCTGTACTGGGTCTAAGAAAAAAATAATCCAGACAAAAAACCCTAAAAAGCCCCACAGGGGTTGAGAACTGATGCATAGAGGAGATTGAGGAAAAAGGCAGAAAGATAGCACTATTTTTCCAAAGTACTCCTCCAGACTCAAGCAGTTTGTGGCTTGGGATTTCCTGATCTAAAGGTGATGTTTATGCTTAATAGCTCTTTATTAGAATTTTCCCTCCATTATTATGTCCAGTAGAATTTTTAACTCAGCTGTTTACAACGTGCTGTGGCAATGAGTTCCACAGCTCACTGTACTAATAGGATCATGGTAGTCAGACAGTAATGGTAATGGTAATCTAGGTCTATGTTGAAAATAATGTATAAAATACTCTGGTAAAATACCGTGATATTGACTGCATTTATAGCTTTAGTTTGACTGAAGAGTTTTTTCTCATAATTATTTACTAAATAAAAGAGCCTGCATACATATGGCTCACCCGCTGATGGATGGATGGATGGATGGATGGATGGGAGGGTGGGTTACTGCATCTACATAACGTGTGTTTCTAGGAAGGAGGGGACGACAGGTGTGTTGTGCTTGTCTTTTAAATACACAAAGAAAAAAATCAAATGCAAAGGCTGATAGTCCTTTTAGTGATCCTGATTTATTAATCGTATTATTATGGTTATTGGTTGTGTTCATTTAGATTAATAGTATTCTGGTTGCCATTAATAGTTCATAGCTATTGGTACTTCCAAAAGCAAAACTTTGCATGGTCTCACACATGTATTGTTCAAGTATTTTTTTTCTCAATTTTTAAAATCAATTCCTCTCAAATTGTGTCAAATTATTTTCAATTTTTATTGGCTTGCTTCACATAGCTATAGGTTCTTCAGGAAGCAAGTGCCTCCATTTTTCCCTTTCCCTACAAAGACCCAAGCTCTTATACCCCAATTATTGAATTTGAATTATTTCTAATCCTGAATCATCTCCTGCAGCAAAACTTCTCACTTGCCTCATATGTGATTTCCAAAGTAAATTGCTGAGTCAGGAAAACAGAGAAAATCTTGTTGGTTTTACTGCTGCATGTTGCAGAGGGGACTTGAGCAGTCTTGAAATGGTCCACCTAACCATTTGGCACCTAAAAATGTGTCTCCAAGGGCACAGACATGACCCAGAAGAGCAGATTCTGCTGCAGTGACAGCTTCGGGTTTGTTGTGGGTTGTGCATTGCAGGGAAGGAAAACTGGCGTTTCTGCACGAGGATGTTCTGTCCGCCTGTCTGGTTGCTGTCCCTAATAATTTTCACAGTGTCAGACTTTCATCTGTGCTGGGTATTGTCTTGGGTTTTCACAGATGTCTGCATGAAATGTGGGTCTTCGTAGCTTCTGTGCCGCATGTTGCAGTCTGTTCTGCAGAAGGAATGCGCGTGTCCATGAGAGTCTTGGATTCTGGGATGCTGTATTATCTATTACTGAATAAAAGCTATAGAAAAAACCTAACCACATCAACAATTAATAGGATTACCAGGATTTCCTTATTTCTAGAGTAATAGCTGTAGATTTACCAAGGGTGGGTGCATTTTTCATCAATGGAAAGCCATTTGCTACTAAAAAATGTGCTGCACCCTCTTGTTAAACACATGGCATGAAACAGATCCAATCATTTAAGAAAAATGGAGCAGTACATCAAACATCAGTGAGTAATGAGGAATTTCTCACAATGGAAGAGATTGTGCATTGAGACCACAAGAAAAAGTGAGATCTCCACGTGTAGAAATCACAGATCGGACAAGTTACAGGGCTTAGTCAAGGGTAACTAGAAGAGGCTTTGGGGAATATCCATACTATCTATGTTTCATTCTTCAGCCTGTCTAAGTATATCTGGATAAAAAATGGATTCATAGACAGGCAACAGGAGAATGCACTTAAGAATATTTTCTTAAGCAGTAAGAGTTCCTAATTTAGGCACCCAATATTACTTGGTGCAAATGCTATGACTTGTGTTAATGCAGATGAACACTTAAATTGTCCTTTTCAACTTTAATAAGACTATCACTTAAGAAGTGCCATGCTGTGGCAGAAGTGAGGCCCTTAGATGAAGCCTCTTTAGGAATACAGAGTCTGAATGAATAAAAAGAGTTAATTCCACTTACACTTTGAGGACATCTGCATTGGAAAAGAGGAAAATATGTTCTTGCAATTGAATTGGCAAATCCATATTAGCTGACTGGGATTAAAATAGCAACAAAGACAAGGCAGTTGGATCTATGATTTGAATGGATATATAAAAAATATCTTCATTCAGAGCCAGTGTACTTCATCCTTATAAAATGTACAAGTTTTAGAAGAGAAGCAGCATGTTGGTCACGCAGCGCTGGGACAGAGCCGTGTTTTCAGTGGGGAGAATGAGCTGTAGGCGGACCCCGTGGGGCTCAGTGCGGTATGTAAGGAGTACACCTGAGAGTTATTGTTTTGATAGGCTGGTAGAATCATGGAACCAAATTTTCAGTTACAAGACCAAAATGACAGGATAGGGAGGTTGTCTCTAAAGAGGGCAGTGCCATCTCAGCTCCTTAGATCCCAAATCACACCAGCAAAGCAGACTGTTGCAGGAAGCAGACCGAGCTTAGGGGTCATGATGTGTGCCTGTACCGAAGTAGGTCCTCATGACAGCCCCAAGGCTGTGGCTTTAGATAGGAAGTGAAAGCATCAGCCTGACCTCTTCCAGCTCAAGCGATTAAGTCCTTACGGTACCCTTCATAAACTGCAGCATTCTTTACCTCTGTCTGAAACTTCATCTTCAAACTCAATGTAACTGCCCCGTTTTATCCCCAGAGCTGCTACATTTGAGTGCAAGATTAAATGGAAGGCATTAAAAAGTAACCTATATTGTTCTAAATATTTGTTGCTAGCAAAAAGAAATATTGTAAGGAATCACCTTTAAAGGTATCTGTGGTAATGGTGCAGCATGCTGGTCAGATTTGTATGTTCAGATACCGTTTATTTTGCATCTGAAGAACTTGATACTTAAGAACACAGGAGTGCATAATCCCCGCCTTGCTGTTCATCGAGCATGTTGCCAATTAAATTAATAGGCCAGGTTCTGTGGTGCCAGGCAGTAAAAGGTCATTACCCAGTGATATTAAAAAGGTGTAAATGGGAGAAGAAATGAATCTACATCTCTGGAAGAACAAGGAAGTACTTATGTTGGGAAGATCATCCCAACATCCTAGAATTTTCCCATTCTAACACAGACACGGGAGAGTCTGGAAGCTGGCTAATATTTATTGATTTCTAACACAAACATTTTTTTGAAGATAGCGATTAGATTAGACTCATAAACTCATTAAAATGTAGGTTTCTTGGTGACTGTGGTGCTCCCCAGAACGAAAGCGAGTGCTGTTTTATTTTCCCATTGTTAGCTCTTGGACCTTTCTGTGAAGTGGACCATCCAGGACGACTCTCCTCGCACATATCCCCATTATGATCCAGGGACATCTCGTCAACTACTGTGTGATCAGTGCCCTCCTGGGAGCTACGTAAAGGAGCACTGTACAGCCACCAGCCCAACGCAGTGTGCCCCGTGTCCGGATCAGTACTACGCCGAAGAGTGGAACAGCAACGATGAATGCCAGTACTGCAGCGCTGTTTGCAAAGAGCTGCAGTACGTCAAGCAGGAGTGCTCCAGCACGCAGAACCGCGTCTGTGAGTGTGTCGATGGCAGATACCTGGAGCTTGAGTTTTGTTTAAAGCACACGGAGTGTCCTCCCGGATTCGGCGTTGCACAGCCAGGTATGTAGCGATTGTCAATATGCACATTAATTAGACCTCTACTGCACGGCAATGACTTGTGGCAGTTACAAGATTAGGAAAGAGGCTCGTCCAGATGAAATTACAGGACAGTAAATTGTAAAGCCAATTGAACCTGTTCCTAGTCTGCATCATTTGGACTGTAGCCAAAGGAACATTTCTCAGTGGAATACCCTGCTCCTACAGTAATATATAACTCAATGGCAGTAGCAAATGTAGCAAATTGCACTCTAATGAGAAACATGATGGATTGCCTCTTTTAAAGGAACATTATCTGGAATGTAGTATTTGTGTGTGTGATAAATAATAATGTTTTTCATTTCGAAATCTGCTGTTTCAAGCAACCGCGTATCTTGACAAATACCAGGAGCACTATGTGTTTGATACCAAGTGTATAATTATAACAATATTAATATAGCTCTAGCATCCCAGCAATATCTGGTAATAATTAATTATCAGCATCCTAGCTGGAACTCTTCGGGAAACAGTTACTATTATCAAACAAACAACCGTTTCTTTTTCAAGCAGGCTGGCATTGTGCTGTAGGTCTGGTGGGGATACAGACGAAGCGGCGCTTTTCCGTGGAGTGTATTCTTCATTTAAGACAACATAAATTGTTAAACCAATAATAAGTTCTTCTCTCAAAACAAAATACATCATTTATCATTTGGCAAATGTCATGGCTCAGTTTAGCTCCCATATTTAATACATCCTGAAAGAATTGTAAACTGTCATTGTACCAGAGATTGATAACTGCCTGGAGAAGAGCACTGAGGAAGGGAATCAAAGCACCTCAGACACGAACCCGTAGGCAACCAATCTCCAGACTGCAGAATTACTTCCCTAGGAATTACGTATATACAATGAGAAACACTAGCGCTTGCCTGTACATGTTAGAGCTATGCTGAATGATAGGTCGGGAGTCCTTTGCTGGGTTATGAACATCTCATTGGAGAACAACTTTGACGTAAGGACTAATGTCGCTGCTGTAGCTGCTCACTAGTGCCCGAGTAATTGGTTAACTAAGCATTACCCCGATGCCCTTGCCACTGTTAAGCATTTCCACTGGCAGCCACCGCATTTCTGTGTTATAAACCTTCATTAACCTAAATCATTATACCCAGGGGCTTGGGTTAATGAGTTCTGCTGTACCTCGGCAGCAAGTCAAACAGGGACAGAAACAAAGTTCTCAGAAAGACTCTTTGGGTGATGAACAAAATATGAATTGTCTGAGCAACCAGCCTGCTGCATCCCTGAGACCACAGTGAAACCATGGCAGACAAATTCGAATCCCTCAGTTCAGAGTGAAACAAATTTTGGAAGAAGATAAATTGTCTGATTGTGTAATTTATTGGAAAGTTGGTTTCCAAAAGACCATCAGAATGAACCAGCTAAACCCAAGCAGACCTCAAACAAGGAATGAAAACATTGTAAAGATAATTGCGTCCCTCTGTGTCAATAGTCATTTTTTGAGATGAAGCATCGACTGAAAATTTAATAAGCATGGCCCACACTGTGTTCCCGGTTTCTGCTATATGATAGCCTTGAACTTTGTAATGATGTAAATTCAGGTGAAATGAAACCTAAATGCGGAGAAATATGCTTCCACTGCCACACAGGGAGGTGGTGTGGTCCAGTGCCTCATTCAAAGCTTAAAACATTCGAAATCCATTTCCCCGCTGACGGTCACTCCTGATTACATTGGACAGATCACTTTACTTCCGTAGTCCCCTTTTATGAGTGCAGATTAAGGTTTTGTTCCTTTCTGCTGCAGTTGGCCCTGTATGTGCCAGAGTTTTTAGCAGCACAGTGCTGGGGAAGCAGCGCTGCTGTGAGGCCGCACTCTCTCCCCGCCGGCGGCTGCCGTTTCCCTGGGGAGAATGGGGGATTCCAGGCGAACTGGAGGGAGCGGCGGAAGGGCTGCGGCGGTTTGTGCCCTGAACAAGAGCAGCCAGATAAGCAGCGAAGAAGAAGCTGGCAAAGCTGGGAGGTGACTTCATACTCAACCCTGAGAACACTGATGGATTACACAGTTTATTTCCCTCCTGTGCCGCAAAGGTTATACAGGAAGCTCTGAGCAGAACGATGCACTGTTTGCAGGGACTCTCCTTTCTTCCCCTTCCTTGCAGCCAGAACAAAACAGCAACGTGTCTGTAGCAGGGAAAGTTGCGAAAAATTCAGACTTCTCATCAAAGCTAATTGCTGCCCGCCCAGGGGCAGGTGTTGGCTGGAGTTTCGTACAGCCCAGAGCTGCAGGCAGCACACATTGTGCAAGAAAACACAAGGGCAGAGGCTGCTGCTGTGGGTTGGGCACTGGCTGCAGAAAGCGGAGGATTTCAAGGGTCTGGCAGTATACAGGGTCTCTGATTTTCAGATGCACAACTAAAAAATTCTCCTTTGTTTTCATCTGATGTTTGATAAAAGAAATGGTAGGTTGGGTGTATGCAAGTACTATACTTTCTTTGATGGCTGGTTGAAAACTGGAGATTTGCACTCCTTTTCTCAAAGGAAATGCCCAAAATAAATAAAATTTACTTAAAAGTTAGCATTAAAATAAGCATCCACATGTTAATACTTCCAAAATACACTAGATGGAGGCATGTTCTTAGTCAAATATAATTTCCATTTTTTTCCGAAGAAATTTAAGCACATGCTTAAGTTCATGTTCAATAATGAAATATTAGATATCAGACTTAAGGCACTTGCTTAAATGTTGGCTGAATAAAGATTGAATAAGAGTGAATATACAGCATTTATTGCTGCTGTTATTTTCCTGCCACTGATGGTTAGACTGTTTGTGTTGTTTCAGATTTCATGCATTAATTTTCTTCCTCTTTGTCAATGAAATAGAAACATATATTGACATTCTGTTGTATCATATATTTGATTCTGAAGTAAAACTATGCCTTATAAAATTAAAACACAAAGTAAAACATATGTATGTATATTAAATAATTTTGCTATATTGGATGATCTACTTTCTTTGCTTTTAATAATATTTTATTCAAGCCCAGAAGAAAGTTCAAAAATGTTACTGCAGCTTATTTTCCTCTATAATTTAATATTTGATCAGGGAAAGTACTTATCAGAAGTTTGTTAGTTGATATTTAGTTGAGTTATATTTTTAGCTAGAACTAAAATAATCTATTTGAGTAAGGTTCTGGTCAGATATTAGAGTACAATTTAGAGCAGTTTCTTGTGCCATTTAATTATTTTACAGAATATTTGTACAGTTGAAGGGTGAAGGTCAGACATGATCTAAGTTCTGAATAGACTCAACTAATTACTGATTTAAAGATATTACCTTACGAAATTACTGATTTAATCAGTAATTACTGATTTTAAAGTTGGTCACGAGTGTATGTAAGAGTACTATTTACTCTACTACTCCAGCAGGAACATATTGTCTTAAAGAACCATTTCTGGTTTTAAAAATTAAAGTGTTTTGGTTTTTTTTTTTTTTCTTTAATGTGATACCTTCATAGATCAGAAATGTGAAAAGCAGAAGCATAACAATTTTGGGAGGAATATTTTCTTTTATTTTTGTGTTCTTGTATTTTTTTTTTAAGTTGATGTTATATATAATTGGATGCATTGTTTTCCTGTGTCCACAGGTACCCCTGAGAGTGACACTGTATGTGAGAGATGTCCAGAAGGATTTTTCTCAAATGAAACATCATCTAAAGCAGTCTGTCTAAAGCACACAAACTGTAATGCACTGGGCTTCAAAATAGCATTGAAGGGAAATGCAGTTCATGACAACGTCTGTCAGGAAAATACAGATACGACACCTCAAAAATGTGGAATAGGTATGTATCATATTAAGGAAGAATGTTCTGAAAACATATTACAGTTAAATTACAGTTAAAATGAATTTATCAGCATTTATTATAAAAATATCTAGCTTGGAAACCATTTCCTGCTATGGGGATGGCCATAGTAAAGTTTTAATTATTATAGGTCAGACCAAACGGAACTCAAGCGCAGAGAGCAACAGCACGATAAAGACCACTTTGCTTCTTAAGGATTTTTTTGTTATCATCCTGGCTGCTTGCCTTTTTTTTTTTTTTTTTTTTTTTTCCCCAGAGACGAGCAGGGTAACAGAGATCAAAACAATTGACATATTCCTTTTCTCTTTCTCATTTCAGATGTAACCCTGTGCGAGGAGGCTTTTTTCAGGTTTGCTGTTCCTACTCATCTCACGCCTAACTGGCTGAACATCCTAGCAGACAGTTTGCCTGGGACTAAGGTTACCACAGAAAATATTGAAAGGATTAAACAAAGGCACGGTACTCAAGAGCAGACCTTCCAGCTTTTGAAATTATGGAAGCAGCAAAACAAAGAACAGGATATGGTCAAGAAGATTATTCAAGGTACCTTATTTTGATAGTACATATATTAAAAGCAACATACTAAATGGCACTTTAAAAATTGCTTGGGATCAAACACCTCCTGGTGATGCATCGTGCTCCGAGGAGGACCTGCAGGGCTTAACTGAGATTTATTGATGCAGTAAGCACAGTGAAGTTGAAGGAAAGCAGGAAGAGAATTCAGCTTCTCCTGATGAGTCGAGGACTGAATTCTTCCCAGACTTGTAGCCCCCCTGGGAGCATGTGTGGTGCCACAGCCAAGATCCCCTTTTGAGACTGCACCATGTATTAAGAATTTTGATCAAGTGGGGAAAATGTTTCCCACTGTTATATCTGAGCAGTGGCTGCTGAAGTTAGAGGAAGCTGGATGCCTGCAACTGAGGGTGCAATTTGTTTTCTGTAAAGTGGAGATTGACAGCTCAGACTAGGACGTTTATTCATGGAATGGGGATGCATGGGAGTGAGGAATACACAGACAAGCTTTCCCTTCCTTTTCCCTTCTGGTACCTATTTGTCATTCCAATTCAGCACTATTTTTGTGCTGAATCTGCCAAGACAGGTGTCAAAGGTGAAACGGTGCTGCAATGTTAACACCGAGGTTTTTATGAGAGTCAGGCCAACTCTTTTCATGTAAGCCACCATCAACAACTGCCACATTAGAACGACCTTTTGTCCACTCTGAATAGATTTGAAAAATGCTGCAGAAATGTTTTTCTCTCCCTCTTCTTTTTAATATGTATGCTCATGTCAGTCTGTGAAGTGTCTAGAGGACGTTAAAAATGAAAATGATTATTTTAGCAAAGCTTGCCTAGACATTTGTGAAGAAGAAGAGAACCAAGTATTAGGGTTCCTATCACGTACACAGAACATTTTACAAGATAGATGAAACAAACATATAGCAATAAATACTTGCTACTAACTTTGTGATTTGGTGCTGTTTGTATTTGCAAAGTTAATTAAATTCTTAAGTGCTTTTCATCAGCCTAAAAAAAAAAAAAAGAGCATTGCTGAGACAATTATTTGAAATAACATAAAAAAGGGAAGGAATATTCACCTTGAAAGTCGCCGTGCTCCCACAACATCGCACGAGTTCCCCTGTGGCAGCAGCAGGTGGGCTACACGCCGGCGGAGAGTATGTGTTCAGTGCTGGTTTGGAAATTCAAAATTATTCCCTGCGGCTATACCAGCCACAGATCTGTCTCCTGCACTTTGACACAGCTCTCCAGATTTTTTTTTTTTGGAAGATTTCTCAGATGCTTTGAGACCTCAGACTCTTACTTACTCCACCTCTGACTTTTTTTTTTTTAATGCAAATTCAGAGTTGGACTAGATGATCTCTAGAGGTTCCTTCCAACTCTGAAAATTCCATGATTCTGTGAAATGTGGAAGTATTTTTGCAGGCCATGGTAAAGTCGTAATGCATTGTACTTATCTCTGCTGTCTTTTCACTTTGTATAGATATTGATCTTTGTGAAAATAGTGTCTTAAGGCATATTGGCCACCCGAATCTCAGCTTTGAACATCTCAACACACTGATGGCAAACTTACCAGGCAAAAAAGTGGGAAAAGAAGATATCGAGCGCACAATGAAACTATGTCAACCTACAGAGCAAGTTCTGAAGCTTCTCAATCTGTGGAGAATAAAGAATGGTGACCAAGACACCATTAAAGGTTTAATGTATGGACTGAAGCACTTGAAAACATACCACTTTCCAAAACCAACCATCCAAAGGCTGAAGAAGGCGATTAAGTTTCTTCACAGATTTACAATGTATAGATTACACCAGAAACTCCTTTTAGAAATGGTAAGGAACCAAATTAAATCAGTGAAAGTAAGATGCGTCTAATTCAAGATATTATTCATTCTTCACTGACTATTTTTCCCTAATTACTGCCAGCAGTAATTAAACTGGAACGTTGTTTTCCTACATTATGTCTTACTATTTATAGAAATGCCCGACTGGAATAGCTCTAAGTCTTTTGCAGTGTTTTTGGAAGTTTTTTTTAATAAAATCACTTTTGTAAAAGCTATTAACCTGTTGATAACACTAAGAGCCTGATTCTGCATTTTTGCACATTCAGAGTTGAAAAACCCCACTATAGTCACTGGATGAGAAAAGAATGCCGGACCAGGCTCTACTACAGTATTTGCTATTTATATTCTTTGAGGTATAAACATTTTTGTTGTACATATTTATTAAGTTAAATGGAAATTGTATGAGACTGAATTTTAGGAAGACAAATGAAAAGCACACTGTATATTTTCTAGTTAAACAAAAATGATCCCATATATTTTTCTGGCAAAATTTTGTAGCATGCTCGAAGAGTTATTAATTTCTTTACCTTTTATATTTAAAAAAATATTATTGCTTAGTTTTATTTGTATAAGTTGTGGTATCTTTTGGTAGCGATGTTTTAATTTATCCAATGATTTTAATTCAAATATGGTGAAAATAGAGCATAAGTGACCTGAATATTTAAATATTCTGTGAGGAACTGAATGTACCATATTTAAGAAGCTGGATTTTTACATAGAATTTCATAATCTTATTTTATAAAACAATTAAATTTTTCAGTTTACTTTTTGACTGGTGTTCTACTCTTGACTCTGAAGTAGGAACTAATAACAAAGACAGAGGATGTGGATTTCACTTCTTATCTTGGGCTTGGCTCTCTGCTACTACCTGTCTGGTCTAGTAGTTAATATGTGAGCCAAGGAAATATGGACCAGCACTGGATTTTCATGGTCACTTGTACAGGTGTAAAAGAATGTGAAAAGTATTAAAGGTTCTAGATCAGAGGGCCCAGGCTGTTGCGATACAACTGATTATAACTCCATAGACACATTTGGCCCAGGATCACTCTTGGCCCGGTGTCATTCTTGGAGAGCTCACAACCTTTGCCCTAACCACAGCTTGTAATTTCATGGAGGAAAGATGATGCACGGCCCTGACAGACTTGGAAAGCCTCACATATTGCCACTATGTTTAAAGGAAGGGAGCACAGAGAGGTCACATAAAAAAAATAAAAATCATTTTCCATTAGCCTCAGCTGCAGAATGAGGCACCTGCGAAGACATGGGCCCTTCCAAAAAAAGAGAACAGAGAGTGCCTGAGTGTTGTTATCAGGTCACATAATTTTAAGGACCAGTGATCATTCACTGCAAGCCAAAGGCTCCAGTGTCTGCAGAGAGACTGTACTCTTGTTTTTTTCTTTAAACCAGGTGAACAGAGGTTGAGTATTCAACATAATCTTTTCCCTTGTGTAAAGGAAGCAAAAACCATCAGCATTTAGCCTTGTATGACAAATATTCCACTATTACAGATGAGAGGATCTTAAGTAAAAAATGAGGAAAAGATTCCTGGTAGATGCGATAGGTGTTCATCAGAAGTGCTCTCCTTACAGAGAGTACAAATGGGACATGTCGCTTCAAAATACTCGGGTTTAATTTTTCCCTGAATTCTCACATCTCTTTTGGTATCAAAAGGAATAAACTCCCTTTTATATTTCACATCCTATATATTAGCATCTCGTTTATCAATGTAGCTGAGAAATGGTGCTGAACACACACAAAAAAATCCTAGTTTTGTGTTGATTCATTTGAAGTAATTTACATACTTTTACTACAGAAACTGGTTTTACATATAATTAAAAGGCTTAAAAGATGATAACAACAGAGTCTCAAATCTGCAAAATAGAGCCCAGATGTTTCCATGACTCTGCCAGGTGTGGAGGTTTGGGGTGTTGTAGGTATTAAAATGAGAATAATCATCTTACAGGCAGCAAAAAGAAGAGGAATCCCACACACCTCTTATAAACATTTCCATCCTAATCCTTTCTACATTAGCTCTATTTAATACAACAATTTAGCAATTGGCAGCACAGTTATAGTATCAAGTAGGAATATAGTTAAAGTATGTATCAGTGGAATCACTTTAATAGAGCTATGGGCTAGGGAAAAGCACAATTGCTTCTTAGTACCTGATACTGGTTTTAATTTATACATTTATACTTCCATATTCCAACTAATTATATGTAAGTCTCATTGTAAATAACCCTGTGAATGTTTGTGGTCCTTCGTGAAAACAATACTGGAGCAGATGCTCAGAGCCACAGAGTATATTTTATGCTATAGCTGCCACGTGACTATGCTATACTTCACTGCAGTAGAGTATAGCTTTGACTGGATTTCCTGTGAAACTTTAGCATTTAACTATTACCTATGCCTTTTAAAGTTGGATTATTTTTTTCCCTCTAAACATAAAGTTACACCTGTTCAATGAATTATACCTTTTAAAGCTGATTCAGCTAACCAAGTGCCCACACTCAGGTAGACGCTTCTCAGCCAGTTTATGCCTCATTTATCAATTCAGCTTTGCTCAACTGGAAGGAATCGAACACTTCACATCCTGAGCAGGCAACACTTAAACCGTATTCCCTTCCCCAAAGAGCCTCCGGCCCAAAATAGCCAAGACAAACAAAAGCGAGACCCAGGATAATGAGGGAGAGGGTGAGGCAAACAGAAAGTGGGAGGGTTGCTTGGAAAAAAATGTGGGTTTGGGGGTGGAGGTTTGTTTTTCAGAGAAGGTTGCAGGAGGAAAGAGGAGTTGTGCGGCAGCAGCAGGTGGGAGAGGGGTCCATGTGCAAGGCACGGAGGAAACACTCTCTGGGGAAGGAGAGGTGGGGGGAAGGAGGGAGGCATGAGGGCTGGGGACAACCAGCCAGAGCTGGGCCTTGGGGTGACACGAAGACGGATGCTCTGCTCAGGGTACTCTGACCTGCTGGGGTACCAGTGCCTGCCCTCCTCCCAGCCTGGCTGTGGACCAGACTCGGGGGAAGGCAACAATTTTGCCAGCCCCTGGTGAGCGGTGAGGGTGCTCCTGCCTTGGGGTGGAAAGGAAGACCGGAACGGGGAGGAGAGAGGAGTGTGCTGCCTCCACTGCCTCTGCAGCCTCTGCTGCCCAAGGCAGGGGCAGGGGTTGTCCCGGCACCGTGTCGGCTTCTCCTTTACTGAGAAAAAGGAAACACAGTTTCAGGAATATTTGAAGGAAGTGGTGAGATTGGCTTTAAGGCAGGTTCTTCAGCTGTTGTCTGTCCAGCCGTGCTCTCAGAGAGCCAAAACAGCCCTCAGTCACCAAAAAATACCATGGGTTGAAAGCAGAACATTATGGTTTCAAAAACTTCTACAGTGCCGTTTTTTAGATCTTTTTTTATACGCACTTGTCCTCCAGTGAGGCAGTCTCTTGGGTCCCAGAAAATACACGATGTTTTGGAGTAGGAGGGAAATTAAAGAAGAAAGTAGATATTAAGCTCTTTAATCATCTTTCTTTACGCTATGCACATCACCAAGCACAATAGATTCCTGCTCCCTCACTGTGACTCATGGATGCTCTCATATAAAATTACCAATCAATAATATAGTCTGCTATAGACTGAACATTCTGAAAGAAAGCTTGGTATTATATAGTTTTTAAAATGTTTAGAGAGCTGCACAACAAAGGTCCAAAGAATTGGTTAGGAATGCGCACGTCTGTAACTGAACACCACATACACACGCACACACTTGTGCACACTCACACTCACACACACCATACACCACGAATGCAAGTTGTACTGGGGGCTTCGGCAGGCTGCAGTGACAAATTCAACCAAACCCTTCATCGCCCTCAGACACCTGTCCTGCCCGTTCTGCTGTGGGTCAACATTGCCACCTCCAAGGCAGAGGTATCTGGTTTGCTTGTGAATCATCTTCAAAATGCCCGAATTTTCAGCCTTGAAGTAATTCAAAACTGTGGCTCAGAAAAAAGTAAATATTTACAGTAAAAAAGAACAAGCAATTTCTGCAGACTATCAGGAACTATTCAATTTTGGACAAACATCAAATATAGGAAATACCCACCCTCCAAAATATTTCTTTGTTGAAAAAAATGTAGAGAAGCAAAAATAAAATGGACAAAAATAACTGAAAAAAAAAAAAAAAGAAGACAGTTTTACTTTTTTCTTCCTTCACCTTAATGAGATGGTAGAACCAATATTGGCAATAAGCTCAGTAGTGAGGATGGATAAAAATATCTACAAAGCTAAGGCTGCAGTCGTTGCGTGACTACTCCCAGTGGAGTTGAAGGACAAATCTATGGGAAAAGGCTATAAGAGTGGACTCAGAATTGCAATTAATTGAGTAATTCTATTTTTATACCAGAGTTTTGAACTGAACAAAGCTTGAGACAAAGTAAAGCAAGTGAACACAATGTGAACGTAGTTTATTCCACTGATCATTATCCTCATCCCTTTTATTTATGGTAAGTTTGCGTAGGATTCCTCTGTTTGTCTTTTTGCATTTAAAAAAAGTTCTTTCATAGCACCAGGTTATTTTTTTAAAATCATCCTGACCTTTAGTACCTAAGAGGTTATTTAAAAGGAACCACATGATGAAAGATTGTGGCTTTGGCAATATTTCTTATATGAAGAGGACAGGGCGTGGTTCAATAATGGTGAAGACAGAACTTTCTGGAATATACTTTTCTCCTTTTTTCTTTATCTAGGAAGGAAAGTCTTCATCCACTTTTAAATAAATAAATAAACTTTCTGGCAACTGGGACGTATATCATGCTGGATATGCAGAACTTTGTCAGCACACAAACCAAGATTTCTGTCTGTTGATACTATCAATGGTGGAGTATTGCTATTGCGCTTCAGCTCTGCCTATGGCACTTAAGATGAGTGAAATGGTACATCCAAAAGGATGATTAGTGCTATGTAATGAAATGGAAACTCAGTGTCGGTAAGAGATGGATCAGGTCCTTGTGTTCTTTGAAGGGGAGAGACAGAGAAGTCAAAGATCAAGGTGCCTAAATACCGGAAGGGTTGCAGGAGCCTCTCCCAGCCGGAGTTAGGGAAAACGAACACAGACCCACGTTTTCGGGAAGGGCGTCCACACTCAGGAGATGTGTCAATGCTTGAACAAGGGTGTGTTTTTTGGATTGCAACAAAATAAGCGGAGAGTG